ATGTGTTGCTTTCATTTGTTTCCAGTATGTAGGTATATATGTAATTATATGTTGAATATGTTTAAATAATAGTTAATTAATCATGTTTCTTATTTCTATTTTGTTCTTGTTTTGACTGGTTCATGAGCTTAAAAAATAGAAACTTGTTTTTGAAATCTTGATTTTTTTTATGGGAATTATCTGTTGAAGAAATTATGTAGTTGCCATTATGTGTTTTCAGTACTGATCTGGAGATTTTGTATTCGATTCAAAGGATCAATTTTGTGTTTTATTTAACTCTTGTGGGTCTCTTTTTGTTGTTAATCTGCCGTTCAAACTTGCTGTGTTTTCCTTACACTTTATTGATAAGTATTCTTGGTAGTGTTGGAGAATTTGAATATTTTGGTAAACTGTCTTCTTGTGTGTAGTTTTAACTGGCGGTGATCTTGATTTTTTGAGAGAAATGTGCTTTAGGTTTCGGGTAAGCAAATTGTGCTTTAGTTTCCAGTTCCTGTGGAACTTTATTTGAATCTTGGTTTATCATATTGTTGTCGCAGAACTGTGTAGGTTAAGAAAAATAATCTCTAGCAATTATTAGTGCATAACTGTGTAGGTTAAGAACTTGACTTGGGACTGTTTGATTTGTAGTATTTGTTTGTCTTTTTTCGTTTCATATGGAATTCGATTTCAACATAATATGTGCTTAAATCCATGTTTATTGATATTATTTTTTTATCCCTTCAAGTAATGGATATTATTGATTGATGTCAATTGTTAAATGTTTTAAAAAATACTGTAGAAGGTCCTGAATTTATGGATAAAGCTGTTTGAATAAGGAAAATGTTGCATATCTTTTGTGATCTATGCATTAAGGCCATTGACATGGGAATGAGACTTAATACTCATTTCAATAAAACGGGTTAGAAATTTATTATAATGTCATTTAAAGAACAAATTGGCCATGCATTCACTAAAACACAACTGAAAAACAAATGGGATGGATGTAAAAAGGATTGAAGGATATGGACAAAACTGGTTTTTGAAACTGGTGTGAGCTAGAGTAGTGAATTAGAAACAATTGCTGCTAGCGATGAGTGATGGAAAGCAAAAATTCAGGTGAATTCCTCATCATCCTTACAATTTCATTTCTTGTTGTCAAATTTCAAAAAATATTCAATGCATGATCCTACATCACTTACTTGTACTTATTATGTAGGAAATTAGAGGAGCAAAAAAATTCAGACATAATGGTATTGAACCATCTTTGAAGATTAAATTTAACAGAATGTATTGCAACATTGTCGCAACTGGAGAGTTTGCATGGGCTTTTTCATTAGGAGTTCTTGGTGGCAATAATGTCAATCATGGCACAAGCAAAGTCGACATTGATGATGCTGATTTGGAAGAAGGAAGCGGTGATTCAGAGGAGGATAGGATTCCAAATTTGAAGGCTAACATGTCTCGAATGGCTTGTGGAATGAATAGATCAAGCAACAACAACAAGAGTAATGGCAAAAGAAAAGAACGAGACCCTTCTGAGGGTCCAAGTAAAAAGAAGAAAATGTCTGAAATTGGTGTTTAGATGTTGTCACAGTGGGATCAACTAGTTGATCGTATATCGACTAAAAGTGATTCAACTTCTTTGAATAGGGATTAGGAAGGTTGTAGTATTTCCGAGGTTATGGCTAAGCTACACTTAATTTTTAGAGTTTCGGTTGATGATGATTTTCACGACTTTGCTACGGATTATCTTGGTTTAAGAAGGAAACGAGAAATGTGGAACAGTATGGGTACTCTTTAACAAAAGTTCAAATGGTTGCAGCGAATGTATGCACAAAGTAAACGTGCATAGCTTACATGGTATGATTTTAATTTTTTAAATGTTAATCAATTGAATAAATTCAAGTGCTAGCTAAATGAACTATGTGATTTTATTTAACATGAGCAATAATTTATTTATACTTGTTTATTTTATTTTTTCAGGATAATGTGATGACATTTTTAGTATACTTATTTATTTTATTTTTTAAGGATAATGTGATGACAGCTTTGGAAAAGTAGTTTGCAGTTGCTAAAGTTTGTTTGAGTCATTATATTACTCCATATTTGGTGTTGAGAGAGATGAGCTCATCTATTACGGTTAGTTTTTTACTGTTGTTGTATTTATTTCTACAATGTTGATGTGAGGTAGCAAACTATTGTGTTGTAGGTTTTTTTTCAAAAAATTTATATTTAAGACATCGGTCGGTGTATTTATCAACATTGTATGTTGATTATCGGATTGTCAAGGAGCGTTTTTTTTTTCCATAATTAATATTTCAAAGATTAGTTAGTATATTTATGGATTTTTAACGTTGGTTATTAGACTGTTGAGTTCTATTTAATTTTTTTTTCTGAATTAATATTCCAGAGATTAGTTGCTGAATTAAATTCAATGTAATTCTGAAAAATTAATTGTCAGTATTAACTATTTACAGTAGCAAAAAATAAATGGTAAAACAGTTTAAGATAAAAAATGATGCATGTGATTGTGATGGTTGCAAAGTGTAGAAATTAAAAATATAAATGGAAAAAAATGATGCATGTGATGGTTGTAGAGTATAGCAATTAAAAACATATATGGACAAAAAATATAGAATAATAGAAGTAAAAAAATGGGGCCAAAGCATCATCAATAATTTGAAGAGGACATTAGTTTTGTTGGAATCACTTGAAAGTTTGAAAATGTTGCTTACAAAAGAACATATACATGTACGTATTACAACTCATATATGGCAGAAAATAATTTTTTTGAAAGCATAATATTTCAAAAGATCTGGAGATATCATTTATATTTTTCTATATAAAGAAGGAGATGTGTTTCATTTTTTCCAACGACATAACTTCTTTCAAAACAAACCTCTCAATTACATTTTATATAAGCAAGTGGAAAACCTTCTTTGTTGGCTTTAAAGATACGTAGTCAATAATTTCTTACAAATTCTTTTATTAAAATATTTTTTAAATGAATGATATGTAATTATTTGTAGTATTTTATTAACAATATACCATTTTTTTATTTGACATGTAATTGAAGGAATGGATGACTCACGGTTTAATGTTATATTTAATAAAGATTTTGATGACGCTTATGATAATGTAATAAACCGAAATGTAGACCACATTACTTACCTAGTTGTGAAGGTAATGGTGCCTCAGTTGCTGATGTTGAAGATGATGGTAATGGAAACGACGACAACGACAACAATAGTAATGATGATGACAATGACGGTGATGGTGACGATGAAAGTGATGATAAAGATGATGACGAATTTATTTTAATGAGGTAGTTTAATATGAAAAAATTAATTATATGCACATCTGAAACTATAAATATGTATTATATTAATTATATGCACAAAGAACTATGCATGATTTCATACAACACAGGGATGCGTTGGTTGAATAAGGTTTTAAGAGGTCATTGGAAATGATATGTCAACATGTTTAGGATGGTCACAACCACTTTGTTGAGTCTGTGCAATGATTTAGAAATGCATTATAGATTAAAACCTTTAAGAAGAATGAGTGTTATTGAAATGATGGCAATGTTTCTATTTACAATAGTATTAAGGGCGTCAAATAGGAAAGTGCAAGAGAGATTTCAATATTCAGGTGAAACAGTTAGTAGATGTTTCAAAGAAGTCTTTAAATCATTATATTTGTTTGTTGTAGAAGTCATAAAACCAGTAGATCCATAATTTACGAGCACACCAAGAGAAATTGCAATGAATCCAAGAAATATGTCATATTTCAAGGTAAGATGAATTTCTTTTTAACATGAAATATTTTATTAAAGTTTATGATTTTTTTGTTTGCATGTAGAATTGTGTAGGTGCAATTGATGACACATATTTTCGTGCTTATATATCAGCTAATAATCAAATTCTATTTATTAAGAGAAAATGTGTACCAACACAAAATGTCATAGCTGCTTGTAGTTTTGATATGCAATTCATGTTTGTGTAGGCAGGATGGGAAGGCAGTGCACATGATACGTGTATTTTTCTTGAGGCTATTAACAATAACAATATAAATTTTTCAAAACCACCAGAAGGTTGTAATTTGAAAATAAATTGAAGACTTGGTTGAAAAATTTTCAATTTTTTTTTTGTTTTGTAATAAGTTAGCATGTTTTGATTTTTTGCAGGGAAATACTATTTGGTTGATGCTGGATATTCCAATGAGCATGGGTATTTGGGTCTTTATAAAGGCGAGAGGTATCACTTACAAGAACTTAGACGTCGTGGACAACCAAGTGGTTGTGAAGAAGTATTTAACCATGTACACTCATCATTACGCAACGTCATCGAACGTTCTTTTAGGGCATGGAAACAGAGGTGGAGAATTTTACAAAACATGCCTATTTATGCATATAAAACGCAAGTTGAAATTGTAGTTGCATCAATGGCACTACATAACTATATTAGAAAGGCATCGCAAGATGATGAGGTTTTTTCCGAGTATGATCGCAATCCCAATTTTATTCCAGATGACTTTTTATCTAATATTGTACCTCCTCAGTTATTCGAGGATCACAACAGCCTTCATGTATGGATTTTGTACGAGATGGAATTGCAAATAATTTGATGGGACAATGAAAAACTTTTATTAATATACAAGGATTATTCATTTTGTTATGTAATCATAATTATAAAATAACAATATTTTACCTTTATTTATTTATGTATGTATAATTATAATGTACTTTTCAATAGTTTTTCAATCAAACCTCATACAAAAAATATATTAACTAAACATAACAAATTGTTTTTTTTTCAACCATAATTGTAACCGTGGTTTTAACTAAATACTTTAAAATTTATAACAAATCTCATAAAAATTATTTTTTATTAAATTACTTTTTTAAAACTACAACGACGATAATAATTATAATAGCAAACAGACTCTTAACATACACGTGAGGGTTAACTTAAATTCGAGTCTGCCTCGTAATTTTTAAATTCATAAAAATTGGAAAATAACGTCAGCATAAATTTTGCTTTATGGTTTCTACTGTAATCATACAGGCAAATGCTGCACAAGTAAAACCTACATGTTTCTAACAAGTAGCCAACTAAAATACTGATAAATCAAAACCGCACTGCCATTTTTTATAGTTTCTTTCAGCATCGGCCGAGTCACCTGCCTAAACAACAAGTTCATTCGTCTTAGAGTCATCATCTTCTACCTTACAATTACGGGTTTCAGAGATAACAACAGCGACCCAAGCAATTACAGGAGTAACCAACAGAATGAGACCTGAGGGCACCATCCACAGCTGACTATTTGTTGGGTGATATTCATAACCCCACCAAAGCAGTAGTGTTCCTCCTGCCACACACACCAAAATTGAACACAAACAAATTACGCATTTCTTCATAATCTTCTCGGGATAATATTCTTGATTTGCCTCATGCTTGCCTTCCTTGAACTTTCCCATCAACCAATACCAGTTCTGTGGCTGAAATTCAGGAAAGAAGAAAAGAAGAGAAAGATTGAACTATCATTTTATCATATATATATATCTTAGCATAACAAGCTATATACAAAGACAGTGCCAAGGGTAACAACTTCATAGAGAAACATACCTTACTTTGAATGAGAATCGGCGGAGTATATTTTTTTTGTTAAAGACAAATTAAAGAGTTGCTAGCAGAACGAAACTGAGAATGCAGTGATATGATGGAATCGTTAATAAAGCAAGACCTCATGAGTCATCACTAACAATAGCTTTCTTGTTTTTGTGGTGTAAAAATATTTAAAAAATTATTATTATTTTTTACAATGATTTTTTTAATGTTTTTATATAATTTTGATAAATTAATATTAAAAATAATTTTAAAAAAAAATATTATTTCAAGTGACACTGTTACTGGTAATAAAGCTAGAATCAACGTGACGTCTTGTTTTCTTTCCCTTAGTTTTTATAAAAGTTGTTCCGTATTCAAAGAAGAAAATGATTGCTTCTTAGTTTTAACTCTTTGTGATCGATGAAGCTATCTGGGGTAGATTCTTTTGCCTTTTTTTTTCTGGTGGCTGGTGCCTGTTTTGATAGCTGGCTGCTAGTTCCAGTATACAGGCGGGTTCACTTTAATAAATCCTCAAAATCATAATCTTTATTTCCTCTTTGATTATGATAATTTAATTGGCTTTCAATCTTCAAGGTTCTTCTTTTAAATAACGTAAGGTGCTTTCCATGTTCTCGAACGGTTGTTTTTTTACTCGGTGCTTCACTCTGTTTATACTGATTTATACTAGTTTTTTTCCCCCTCTCGAGACGGTCAATGCTAGGACTACCATGAAAATAATTTCTCTGTAAATGAAATGTTATATATCATCTGCAAAAGGGAGAAGAAAAGGAGAAACTCATTTTTATTAACTCGATTTCTGTTTTAATAGATTAACTCAGTTTCTAATGCAACTCACTATCATAAACTCACTATACCGAGTAGATTTTACCGATGGAGTTGGGGTGGAGTGCAACGACAAGAGGATTTTATTAAGTGACTGAAGTGGTCTAGGCCCACCATTTGCATTTGACCTTCGAGGTTATACCGAAGTCTTCTGTAATAGAAATGTATTTTGTCGGCAGCGCTGTAACAGGCTGCATCTTAGCCTGTCATATATAGGGATGCTTTGCTTTACTTGAGATTGTAACATTGTTAGCTTTCTTTATAATTTCGAAAGGTATGCTGACTGTTTCCATTTTTCAAATTTAAGAAAAAAATATTTACATTGTCGAATCTTTTTCTTTCGATGAGCGGGGAGACATAAGTTTGATAGGTGGAGAATGTTTAGTATTATGGTAATTTCTGTTTTTTGTCTAATTATAGAAAATAAATCTTGGGGTTGACTGAATATTTATTTTTTCACTGAACCTCACACATATTTCTAACCTTGATTTTATATGAGATAAAATAATTTTTTTTTATTAATAAAGATCTAATTTTTAACCAAATAAAAAATTTTAAAATTTATTTTTTAAAAAACCATAATATGAACTCTCAAAGCGAGGAACTTGATTCGTTGGCCCGGGTTGTGGATGGCGAAATCCTTTTCAAGAATAGAAGTCTATGGACCCATCATACTGTTCACTATGGACTCTAATTCCTTTCCAAATTCCAGCTCTAAACAGCCCATTATAAACTTCAAGTTTATAAGTTGAGTAGGCCCATCAAACGGAGAGAAGATTTTCTTATATGACTGAGCCCGTTAGAAAATCAGCAGATCTAATATGCTCGTTTGGGTCGAGCTTCCATCATCCATCCCTCGAGTAGTTATTTGTGTTTGACAAATATGACAGTGATTATTTTTTTAAATAATTTTTATATTAAAATAAATGTTAATAATATTTTTAAAAAATTATTTTTAATATTAATGTATTAAAATAATTTAAAAATATTTAAAATATATTAATTTAAAATAAAAAATTTAAATATTTTTAAAAAAACTTTTAAAATATAAAAATAAAGGTCTCTTCTAAAATGTTCAAAATATGTTTGAACAATATAACTCATAGAAAACTTCATTCTTATACGGTAAAAAATATTGTTAGTAATAATATAAAAAAATGATAATGAAAAAAACATTTAATTATTATATCAGTTGGGATAAAAAAAAACTATACCCTTTTTTTTTTTCTTACTTTAAATTCTCTCTCGCGTTCCATAACTGACAAAAAACACATCCTTCATTAAACACTATCAAAAAAATAATAATTAAGATTCACATATATAAATCAGATGTTAAAAAAATTAGGTTTGAACTCATTTCATCCATCTAAAATCTAATTCATTGTAGGAGATATATTCTTATTCAATTATGTAGATTAGTGATATTTTAGGCCCAATAAGCTATCATACTATCATGAATAAAAAAACAAGATTAACAATACATTATATCTTTAGAAAAGATGTTTAAGATGATAATATTTTATTTTTAGCATAATTAATTTTGTACCTTAAAACTTTATAGGCTAATTATAGATTTTTAATAATCATAACACTAACTAAATCATAACATAAAATTTTCCATCTCTAACCTAAAAAAGTCCTTTTCCTTTCCTTTTTCTATGAAAAAGAGTTTTGGTTACAAAAATCATAAAAATTTCACTCACTATTGCCAGGTTAAATTCACTTCTTCCTTTACTTTGTCAAATTTTGCCCGTATGACAACCAAGATTTCCTGTACAAAACCAAATTTCTTTGAACAAACCATGTTGTTTTCGCACGATGAAGGGCTTCCTAAATTGTTTCTCTAATTTTTTTATAAAATTCATTTGACCAGGAGATATTATTTTATCTCTAATTTTATCCTTGAAACAAGACCCTTTAACAATAACCCAAGTTCACAAGAGTGCTAGGATGCATGCTTAGCACTATAAACGTTGGGTGTACTCCCGGCAAGGCGTGTGCCTTACATAGGTTTGGACAGTAATCTAAACCAGGTTTTTGGGTGTTGGGCTCCAGCGCGGTAGCCTGAGCTCTTTTTATATATATATATCTTTTATCTTTTGTTGTACTTTAAGCTCAAGATATCAAGTCTAAAGAGTGTTCTTGATGGGTCTATTTTGAAGAAAATTTTTGGTTTCATTTTGGAGTTTCTTTAATCCGGATCCATCAATCTCAGCTTCTTTCTCAATCCAGTTCCCTTTCAAATACCACTCCACCACCATCTCCTTGTCAAACAAGCTGAAGAGGAAGCCAATAGATGCTGGTTCTCACATTTGAAAAGCGTCATCTGCGATGGTACAAGACATCAGCTCTGGAATCGATAAACATGGCTATTTCACCGCTAGTAAAAATCTTAGGTTTGTTTCGGCAAAAATCTTGCGAAATTTTCTAAAATCTTACCCTCAACTAATCAGATGACGAATCTTACTAGTGGAGAAATAATTGTTTGATCAATAATGAATTTGGATGCAATTTTTGTCTTTTGATTGAAACAAAGGAGATATGAAGAGAGAAAGGGGAGGGAATTGAAAAAAGAAACTGGAGGATGTTTGCGTGTTCGTGTTACATTATAAATTCACCATTTTCTTTTTACTTTAAATTTTATGTTAATCAAGCATTTAAATTGTAATAAAATAGTTGCAAAATAAAATAATAATAATTAGGCTATAAACAAATCAGTATAATTATCTAAATTATAATTATAATTATAATATCCAATAATTCAATCTAGCATATTACGATTATATTTGTTTTTGTATTTTAAAAATATATTTTTGTATTTTTGTATTTTTTATTTTTTTAATATTTTTATATTATTTTGATGTATTAATATTAAAAATAATTTTAAAAAACAACTTATTATTCAACTTCAAAACACTTCATATATCATGCTGTCGAGTCCAATAATTAAGTCACAGAAACACTTCAGATTTTTAGACCCCTACCAGGGCCTCTTTTTTTTTTTTAAAAAAAATGTTTTTTCAGGGTCATTTTATCTTCGTGAGAAAAACCTCTATGGGACAAAGCCCCCCATGAGACGTCATAGAAAGTAACATTATAAACTGCAAATTGAAATCAATGAAGGACAAAACAGAGGACGAGTTGCCAAAATGTAGTCCACCAATTTCCCATGCGAGAGTGACTTCAAACCCTTTCGAAGCCGACCACAAGTTTTGCAGGCTCTTTAAATAATATATTTTTTTAAAATTATTTTATATATATAAATTTTATATGAATAAATTTTATTTTTATATAGTATTTCTAATATGTATAACTTTAAATAATATTTTTTATTTAATTATTTTAATATATATCTATTTATATTGTTGTTTGATTTAATAAAAGATTTATTTTAATAAACAAATTATACTAAATATCTCATAATACAAATCAAATATCTTTATTTATAATTATCTTTTAATTTTTTTAAATTTTACTTGTAGTAATTATTAATATTTTTTTCTGTTATTTATATTTATAATAAATATCTTATTTTACAATTATTTTTCAATATTTATATAAACCTTTCAATTTAAATTTAATTTTTTTATATAAAAATAAAAAAAAGCTTTATATTCAATTTTTTTAAAAAAAAATGATGTGTGACGGGGAGCAAAAAATCTAGTTGAATTTAAAACTTATAAAAATTTATGGATTATTTTATGTTTAATTTTAAAATTAATTAAAAATAATATGATCATATGATTCATACCTATAATGGTAATTAAAATTTTGATACCATACAAAAAAATATTTTAATTTAAAATGAAATTATTAAATGAGAATTAAACTAGAAATAGTTTTATATTACTAATTAAAAAAATACACATGCAAGAAGCATATACACATATACGTGGATTGCCATCAATAATTATTTTTTTTAAAGAGGATAATCTAGTTGTAGAAATTTTATTATTGAGTTATTTATAAATCATTGATTGATATTTTCAAACATAATAAATTATATCCATCTAATTTAAACAGTAGAATTCAAATTAACAAATTATATTTGGTATTAAAAATCAAATTACTATTGAGTAGTATATTTGAGTATTTATCCACAATTCAAGTATAAATAAAAATATTAATTAATAATTTGCTCTGTTTTTCTAATCTGGAGAACATGAAAAGAAAAGAAACCACATTGCTAATTTAGATGAGAATCGCAACATATTTTAGACATCTCCAATAAGGAGTGATTAGGCTATATGTATTTTTCCCATTTTATAATTTGATTTCGAAAAGAGTTAAGATTATGC